ATCATCTCTGACCATGTACAGCTTCCCGTACTAGCATAACCTGTAGCGTCATGCGATCAGATTCCCCAAGGACGCTTCCCTATTCCACCTTACAGCACCCAAGAAGTACTTGAATGCCATGGAAGGCAAAGACTATGTCCAAGCATGTTAAAGGGGAAGTTAAGGCAAAAATTAAAATTTCACCAGTTGTAGTCTTCGGGGTGCTGAGTCGAATGGTCTTGGTCCGAGAAAGCTGAGACGCTCCCTTCCTACTTGAATCCCAATCGAACTCGCGCACTTCCACCGAAACTGGGTGACTGCGCCCTACTAGATGGGGATTTGTATGCAAAATGTCACTAAAAGCGCCATTTCGTTCTTATAAAAGCACGGATGACCGCGATTGGCCCATATGTTGTAGTCTTTTGGATGCTGAGTCGACTGGGTTTAGTCCGAAAAGGCTGCGATGCAGCGTTCCTCCTTTATTCCCAATCGAACATGGTTGAACAAGCGGTCACGTGCTCCTGCGTACGCCAGTCACCTGGTCACCGTGCCTGCAGGGTACATTTTACTAGCCTGTTTGACCTTTTTTGGGTGCAGTCCTGTCACTCGAGTTGAACCTTGGTGTGAAAGTTGTCGCCTGCTGGCGTGGTGACCAGGTGATTTGGGCACCCAGGAGCGGGTGACCGCTTGTTCAACCATGTTCGATTGGGAATAAAGGAGGAACGCTGCATCGCAGCCTTTTCGGACCAAAACCAGTCGACTCAGCGTCCAAAAGAGTACAACATATGGGCCAATCGCGGTCATCCGTGCTTTTATAAGAACGAAATGGCGCTTTTAGTGACATTTTGCATACAAATCCCCATCTAGTAGCGCACAGTCACCCAGTTTCGGTGGAAGTGCGCGAGTTCGATTGGGATTCAAGTAGGAAGGGAGCGTCTCAGCTTCCTCGGACCAAGACCATTCGACTCAGCACCCCCGAAGACTACAACTGGTGAAATTTTAATTTTTGCCTTAACTTCCCCTTTAAAGTAGAATGAAGTTGAAGACACCACTGCAGCTGTACTTATGGTTGATAAATATGGTGGTAAAGACACACCTGGCAATATAGCGGTAAGCGAACTGATGGTGGTGGTGGTGAGAAGGAGAGCTCTATGCCAGAACTTTGCAGCCTAGAGAGCGTGTGTGGGCAGGCGTGTGTTTACCGCCATATTGCCAGGTGTGTCTTTACCACCATATTTATCAACCATGTTAACGTAGAAAGGAAAAGGACATATGGAAACGAGTTAAGAGTAACTCTCCACCACTGTAACTAGATACTATATACAGTCAGAAAGTGCAACAACTAGGCACAAAACTGACGGAGTACGTCGGTTAGCGCTACGGAGATGTGTTGAAGCTAGGTGTCAGGACGTCGAATGTCTCAGTACTCTGTCAGTTTTGTGCCTAGTTGTTGCACTTTCTGACTGTATATAGTATCTAGTTACCGTGGTGGAGAGTTACTCTGAACTCGTTTCCATATGTCCTTTTCCTTTCTACTTTTATTATTGGCTCAATACCCGAGTTTCATGTTAAAGTACATAATAATAATAAATAAAATAAATAATAAAAGATGATTTAGAGGAGTCATGAATACTAGTATAGCCTATTTTTGGTGTGGTGAAGACATTCTGAACAATCTGTAGGATATTATCACTTCGTAGAAATTTGGAGGAATCTACGCCGCATTGCAGTGAAGTGGATAGGTAATAGTTAAAGACAATTTTTCAAAGTAATGAACTGAATACACGAACTTAGAGCTCGTGGGAACAACCATCTTCAGAACTGAATACAGTACTGGTGAAGAGGTTGTCACGCGGAAAGATTCATGCGCTGTTCTGGCAAACTGAGGGTGCAATACGCGGGATTTGACACGGAATGGCGTAGTTATTAGCATTGAAAGTCGTTGAATATTTCAAATGATCAAATCCAAGTGTGCTCACAAATTTATTGTGGTCCAAAGAAATTGTGAATCTGTCCAGGTAGCCCATATGTTTCATTTGGGCTACATGGCGAACTCTGTTTATTACCATTAAACCTGGGCGTTAGAAAATTAATATCGATCTCAATGTAAAATTTGAAACAACTCCCTGCTGCGTAATTATCCACACCGTGGCCAGGGAATAGTGAAAACTCAAGTTGTTTTCTGAAGGCGGTTACCATCCACCAGCACACTTAGAACAATAGTTTTCAACGGAGGATTCATTCAGTTACCTATCAATCATTATTGGCAATGCAATTTGCACTCTTTGCCCAACCTAATTATTATAGCCAACCACATGCACATGGTGGGTATACTCGAGGAGTCAGACACAGGACTATGATGTGTTCATTTCTCAGTTATTAAGAGAGGATACCGTCTCTGCTTGGATAACAGCTACACCATAGCTCAGTGGTTAGAGCACCGCTGGCTTCAAGTGAAGGTCCCTTTTTCAGTCCTGGTGGTGACAGTAAATGTTTTCTTCAGACTTTTCCCGTTTGCATCTTTCCCCCAAGCCAGTACGTTATTGAGTTTCACATTTGTATGTTGCAACGGAGTTCTCCGCCATTCTCAACGTTAAATTTGGGAATTGTACATTGCACTGTTGCGGCTATGAAGAAAAAGAAATCCAGCATTAACAGCAAACAACCTCACGTTATCTATCCTCTTTCTTCACTTTTATCACTACTTTGCGTTATTGTTCGTTTGTTTGCTTGAATTATTTCGAAGTATTTATTCTCACGATGGCACTATCGCCAATAAGAGATTGAAATCAATTCATTGACAGAATATGCCACTGCTGTCAGCACACAATGACTCTGACAATACCAGTGAGCATACTTCGAAATACATGTACGAACATCTTGAAAGTGTTCAGCTTGACAAAGTATACTTTCAAGGCTTCTCGTCAGGTGAAATACAGGCAAAGGGAAACTAACAAGAACAGTGGATTAAGTACAGTAGCGACGTGATGAAACAGCGCAAAGAAGAAGATAGCTAATATTAGATTTATCACGACAAACAGTCGGTATTTCAAATTGCAGAACGATTGCCTCATGAATCCCAGTTTCATGATTGCACAACCGTTGCACCATCACCTACTCATACAGTGACCATGCTGCACTAGGCACTGTTCAACTGCGCAACCCATAAGCAGTCAAATATAAGCAATCAATATAGCGCTGATGGGTGAAATAACTAAATATTGCGACAGAGCTTCTTGCTCTACATATACTGGCACACACAGAGACATAGACAGCAATAGCGACAACACACAAAGTGAAGGGTAGTTGGCCTCAGCCAGATGTGAACCAGATAACGAGTGAGGTATGGAAGCAAGGACTGAGAACGGAGTGTCTAAGATAGAATAGGCGTGCCAGTGGATAGCAGAAATAGGCCATAATGCAGAACCACTTGGGACCGTCAGATTAATTTCCCTGGACCGAGCCAGCCGGGAAAAAACCCTCGCGCCGACGGACGCAGTTGTGAGGGAAAAAACCGGGTGTATATCCCCAATGGCGATTAGGCATCCTGTAGGCATGGCAATCACATCACGGCACAAAGTGATAAAAAGCAATGATATTAAATATGGCAATAAATAAGATAACTTGTGCATTCATAACAACAGCAAAAAATGAAGAAAGTTAAGTTCTGGTGGTGACAGTCAATTTTTTCTTCAGCCTTTTCCCGTTTGTCACTTTCCCTCAAAACCAGTCAAAAAAGTTAAGTTCCATAACGTTTTCTTGTGACTGTCATCAGTGGAACGCCGTCACATAAAATGTAATAACTAAAACGCACACTTATATACATGTAGCTAATATGGTTTCAGGTAAACATACAGCAGCCAGCAAGTACAAAAAGCGAAGTTTGCATCTTTGGAATGTGTGAATATAGTGTGTGTGAGAAAGGTAGTGGCAGATGAATGGATACTGTGTGAATGAATGTAATGGTGCGTGTGTATTACTTGAAGAGTGTGAGTGATACAACGTTTTCTTTCTGTTTACATAGCACAGGGTCACGAGTACGAATATACACAGCTTCGAATAACACTAAACCTTGAATCGTGAAACACCTTACGACATTCTGGACTGGACACCAAATGCTTGTTTGTACACTGCAGACTTCCTCTTGTCAACATCAAACTCCTCCTCATCACTACTCTCATCCTCCACCTCCACTCCAATGCCGCCGTCCATCCCATCGTCCTCGTATTCGTTATCATCAGTCTCCATCTCCTCGCGACACCGCTTCCCTCTCATTGATTTGTTCTGTGCCGTACTTGTGCTTCCTCCTGTGTCTCCTTGCCTCCGAGAGGGGAACTAGATTAGTCTGCTCGTTCTCCATGGAATTAGTACGGCAATATAACGTCGATTGTTGAGATATTAATTATGCACAGAAATGAAGGGTGGGAGGGCAGGGACACAGGTGAGACTCAAAACTGACTGAATTGTTGGCGTATTGAGTTCAAAATAGTTGAGATTTTGGAAGCAACATTCGTTCGAAAACACAATATGCAACATTTGGTAGATTTTCGGCGGGTCTCAAAGCAATCCTCCAAAATCAGCGATAGAAAGCTTAGCCATTTTTCAATCGGTCTCGTTTTCGGCCGGCTGACTTGGGTAAAGCCTACTAGTAAAAAGGGTCAATGAAATCAAAGCACGCCAAAGATCAATAAGGAAGGTTAGCAACGCCTTGAACGCATTGATTACTGACTAGCCACTTGAAAATCTCAATAGACGTTCGTTTGCAGCAGCTGATTGCACATTAATTGACTCTACCAGTAGTTGTTCCAAGGCAGCATACAGTACAACACGGAGACGCTTGATTTTTGTTTATGGCTAGGTTTAATTTAGGAAAAAAAGGTTTCAGAGCAGACCCGCTCTCTTCCCTGTCACTCTGCAAACTCGAACTCCTAAAAGGGAAGTGAGCGGGTCTGCTCTGAAACCTTTTTTATGAATGAAGCTGCAGGAATCCTCACCGCCGCTACAAAATCTGGTTTGACATTAATAAATAATGATGCCCCTGGACCCAGACCGACTAGAAAAAATATAGCTCGCACAGGCAGACGCAGTAGCAGGGGGAAAACCAGTTTATTGTCACGAATGACAAGATGGCATTGTGGAAGCATAAAAATGAACAGCGGAGCTAAGTTGAAAAGCAGGATCAAGGTGGCCAAAAATGAAGAGCTGTAGACCAGCGAAAATACTAACCTATACAGTACTAAGAATCAAAGAATGAACGAAAAAGACATGAATCGAAACAATGATAAATGAAAAAACCAATGCCCAATGCCCAATCTTTGTTACCATAACGGCGACGAAGACAACAACAACAACAATACCAAAAATCCTATTGGGGGAGGTGCCATCGTGAGAATTAATACTTCAAAAACGATAAAAACAACAACGACAACAAAACCAACAACAAAACCAACGACGACGACGACGACAACAACAACAACATCAGCAACAGATTAAGAAATGGCCACGCTAAAATGGCAAACTTTCCACCAATCGCACCCTGGAAGCCTGTGGCACACAGCAAATATTTCTCAGTCCATGAATATAGCAAACAATGCAGCGGAGATTTTCCGAGGTAAGGCGGTAAATAGCACAGTTTGAATAACAACTGGAGGTGTTAAGTAACGAAACCGTGTGTCGGCTAACCTAATTTGGCTCCACGGAATGCAATGCTAATCTGTTAAGTCAAAGTCTCTGAATTTAGACTGGTCGATCCGGGCCACAATCCTTTCGTCAATGGGCTCGAGAACGGCGACCTCGTCCGTAAATTCCGTGTCAAAGTTTGATGTGTCCGTCTTCGAGTCAAACGGTGGGATAAAGGGCGGATTGATGTCGCCCCTTTCTAGCGCCTCCCACCGTATTGACTCGAAAAACGGATGCGTTTGTACCTGCGACCCAGCCGTGCATCCCAGACGCTGCTTAACAGTTTTGTGCATCAAACTCAGCAACACGCTTTCGCAATGTTTACTGCAGTTGGTGTCTGGGAATATCACCGGCTGGGCTTTAATGTTTCGGAATATCACCTCTGTTGTTGCGCCTCTAAAGGGCACACAGCCAAACATCATCTCAAACATCAGAACGCCAAGAGCCCACCAGTCAACAGACGCGTTGTAAGCTGTCCTTCTGACCATTTCCGGGGCCATATATTCAGTCGTGCCGACGAATGTTGATGTTGTGGCTCCCAGGGTTACTTTGCTCCCACCGAAGTCTGTTATTTTGATATGTCCATCACTGCTCAGCATGACGTTTTCAAGTTTCAGGTCACGGTGAATGATTCCTGAACGGTGCAGATGAAGTAGGGCGCACGCTATCTGAGCGGAGTATAATCGAGTTGTGGACTCACCAAAACGGCGACTTCTTTCTTTTCCCGAGTGAAACCATAGATCTCCGCCGCCGATATACTCCATAACGAAGAAAAGCCTGCTGGCATTTTGAAAACACTCAAACATTTTCGCACAAAACATATGGCGACCCGCAATAGCCAGAACTTTCTTCTCACTGATGGTTCTCCTTACAATGTTCTTCTGGATAGCCGTATGCTTCTGTAGCACCTTGATAGCGTACACTTGGTCCTTGTTCTTCTTCTTCTCAGCGAGATATACAGTGCCGTAACTGCCCTTACCGAGATGCCGTTCCCGTGTGATTCGTCGCCATCACTTGCCTTTTGTGTATCTCGCTCCATCGGAGACCGGACCGCTGCATCTGTGACTTCACTTAGCGCTGGGAACGTAACAAGATTTTTTACTGAACTCATTGCGCCTTTTGATGCTACTGCAGGAGTAGCAGACGGCGTTTCTCTTGCAGGGTAAACAATCTTCTCGGAAGCTGTGCCTCTCGTCTGATACTGTTCACTATATCAATACTGACAAAACGGTATAACAATCAGTACGAAATTTATCCTAAGGCTAGCGTCCAGCGACACTCACTGGTTTAAACAAGGGTGAATCTTGTCTCGGGCATTAGTTGAAACTGGTCTCAAATCTATGCTGCAGGCTTTTATAAACCCTACAGTACACGAACTAGCCTAGCCGAGGGGTTATAAGCTTGCCTGCGAATCACAAGGTCGCGAGTTCGAGACCCGCGCTCGCAGCAGGGAGCGTGAACTGTGCTAACACATGCGGTGATGCATGCGTGAACCAGATACAAGGAAATGCGCGGACAAACACGTCAGAGTCAGCTGGCTACTCACCACTACATGTAGTACAATCGTCATGTACTCGGAGTGAGGCTTACTCGGATCGGAGTGAGGGTTACGCGAGTGAGGCTTACTCGGATCGGAGTGAGGGTTACGCGAGTGAGGGTTACTCGGAGTGAGGCTTACTCGGATCGGAGTGAGGGTTACGCGAGTGAGGCTTACTCGGATCGGAGTGAGGGTTACGCGAGTGAGGGTTACTCGGAGTGAGGCTTACTCGGATCGGAGTGAGGGTTACGCGAGTGAGGGTTACGCGAGTGAGGCTTACTCGGATCGGAGTGAGGGTTACGCGAGTGAGGGTTACGCGAGTGAGGCTTACTCCGATCGGAGTGAGGGTTACGCGAGTGAGGGTTACTCGGAGTGAGGCTTACTCGGATCGGAGTGAGGGTTACGCGAGTGAGGCTTACTCGGATCGGAGTGAGGGTTACGCGAGTGGGGGTTACTCGGAGTGAGGCTTACTCGGATCGGAGTGAGGGTTACGCGAGTGAGGGTTACTCGGATCGGAGGGAGGGTTACGTGAGTGAGGGTTACTCGGAGTGAGGCTTACTCGGATCGGAGTGAGGGTTACGCGAGTGAGGGTTACTCGGATCGGAGGGAGGGTTACGTGAGTGAGGGTTACTCGGAGTGAGGCTTACTCGGATCGGAGTGAGGGTTACGCGAGTGAGGGTTACTCGGATCGGAGGGAGGGTTACGTGAGTGAGGGTTACTCGGAGAGAGGCTTACTCGGATCGGAGTGAGGGTTACGCGAGTGAGGGTTACTCGGATCGGAGGGAGGGTTACGTGAGTGAGGGTTACTCGGAGTGAGGCTTACTCGGATCGGAGTGAGGGTTACGCGAGTGAGGGTTACTCGGATCGGAGGGAGGGTTACGTGAGTGAGGGTTACTCGGAGTGAGGCTTACTCGGATCGTAGTGAGGGTTACGTGAGTTAGGGTTACTCGGAGTGAGGGTAACTCGGAGTGAGGGTTACGTGAGTGAGTATTTCGCTGGCGCTCAGCTGGCTTTTGTGCTCCCTGTCGAGCGGTCACACCAGACATCAAGTTCAAAGCCTGAACGGCTTGTTTTTTTGCCCGCCAAATTTTGAATATCTCCAAACACACCGTTTGCAAGATATCGGAAAGCAGAACAATGGCGATCTACAACTTGTGTTCAGTTTTGATGAAGAAGTAAAAATCAACAACAACAACAACAACAACAACAACAACAACAACAACAACAACAACAACAAGCAAAGGAAGCCCGGATCCTGAATTGCGACTTCGTGCTCTTTTTATTTCTTCTGTGTGCATGGACGCGATGATTCGGGTGATGGTGTCTCCTGATGTTGAGCTTTCTGCTCCGCCGGTTGCTGTTCTTCAACTCTCTCGCAATCCACTCTCTTCTTCGTACCTTTCTTAATGAATTGAGTCGTGAGTTTGGTGCCTTGTCTTGGCCTCGAACCACAGCTCCAACAATCTACGCTCTAGAGGCACCTCCACTCCAGGAATCCATGGTTATCGGAGAAAATCAAAATCAAACTGAGCTCTACAGGCTGTGAAATTTAAATTTTTCACCGGACTTCCCCTTTAATTTAATTGACATCCCATTGTTGGTGCATTATAACCCTGCCGGTGACGTTTTAATCAGGAGTTCGAGACCCGCACTGGCAGCAGGGAGCGTGAACTGTGCTAACAAAAGCGGTGATGCATGCGTGAACCACACGTGGACGAAAGAGAAAAGGAACATTGTCGTAACAATCACTCAGCATGCACCCAGAGGCAAAGGGACAAAAGTAAACAATGGTATGACGACTTACTTATTTGCTTCTCAAAGCTCCAAACTGCGAACGTGCACGCCTGTCCACGGATGTCACTCGAGTGCAGTGACCAACCTGCGCCCCTCTCTCTCCACCACTCCCCCCCCCCCCCTCCCCCGCCACACACACACGAAAATCCTGGCACCAATGTTGCATTGTAGGAAGAGTACTTCCTCCGTATACAAAAACTTCGTGACTTTTTTTTAAAGCTGCGCACAGCCCTGGAATTGTTCCGTTTGACTCGGAATAACACTCATGGCATTGTCTAACCTGTTTACAAGCTATATACAAAGAAAAAAGCAACTCAGACGAATGAGATTGAGTTTTTTCAGAGTCTTCGTCGCTCATGTCAATAGTGAGGTTTTGCATTCCGAATTTCGGTTCGGCGTTCTTCGGTCATTTGTCGAACATCAAAATGTCGAATTTTCGCACCAACGTTTGTTTTGCAAGTCGAAAATGATGTGTTTTCATTTCGTGAGCCCCAGCATCAGCAATGTCCTGTCCCGTGCTCCCTTTCTTGCTGATTCCAACGAACTTTGATCGCCCAAAGAGTCGAGGGCCAAACCTGCCTCCTCAGTCGCCTCAGAAGAACCAACTCCATGGCCAAGCCAAGTCAAATTTTATGCGTACCGCCATAGTCTTTTCAGCCACACAGATGACGGTGAGGACACTCCAGGCGATAGAGAGTAGACAGGCAGTGGAGAGGAGCAATCAGAGGTAGCTGGCGATGCTGATGTCGCCCAAGACGCCTGCGAAGCGATGCCGATATAAGAAACCTCTTTGAATAAATCAAGCGCTAGCGCTCTTCTACAAGAAAATTCATCCGAAAAATGTTTTCGGCAAAGTGGGTTTTTTCAGAAGAAACATGCCGAATCTTCGTGGGCACTTTCGACCTCGCTCCCGCGTGCCGAATCTTTTTGCCGAATTTCGGAATGCAAAACCTCACTATCGTCACCTGACGACGCTGACTCCGCATCGCCAACAGTCGCTGCTTCTGCTCGCATTTCGTTCAGATTCTTGTCACCTGCAGTGATGATCCGATGCTGGACTTTGGCTACGTCCTCTTCATCTCTAGAGCTGTGTACGAATCGGTGTCGACTATAATTATTCAGTTGTTCCAACCCGCGACCTCCATTAGGCATTATGCCGTGAAAAGAGTCGTACAAGCACATCCACACGCTTCGCATTTTCACCAACGCGCTGTGGTGCGCTTTCAACTCTCCCTGCTGCTCAACCGTCTTGCAGAACTCGAGTCGTAATTCGGCATTCGTTAAGGATTGCTAACGTTCACCAACGCGCTGTGGTGCGCTTTCAACTCTCCCTGCTGCTCAACCGTCTTGCAGAACTCGAGTCGTAACTCGGCAGTCGTTGAGGATTGCTAACGTTCGCCATTGCGCTGTGGTGCGCTTTCAACTCTTCCTGCTGCTCAACCGTCTTGCAGAACTCGAGTCGTACCTCGGCAGTCGTTGAGGATTGCCAATGCTAGCGCTACTGCCAACTTCCTGCGCTGGCTTCAAGCTCTCTTCTCCTACATGTACATGACCGTATAATATATATATATAATTATATACTCAATCTGCGGACAGAACTGTTTCGTCCTTTGTGGACTCGTCAGCGCAGCACAGAGGAAATGAGGCCGAACCTGATAGCAATGGAAATAAAAATTTCCAATCAGGTCCGAACGTACCTTGCCAGAGTGCTCAAACTGACAAGTCAGTGAGCTCTGCATAACGCAAACAGCAAAGGCACTATATAATTATATATATATTTTACGGTCATGTAGCAGTTGAGCACTCTTGCGTGGGGTAGTGCCTTTGCTGTTTGCGTTATGCAGGGCTCACTGACTTGTCAGTTTGAGCACTCTGGCAAGGTACGTTCGGGCCTGATTGGAAATTTTTATTTCCATTGCTATCAGGTTCGGCCTCATTTCCTCTGTGCTGCGCTGACGAGTTCACAAAGAACGAAACAGCATGCTGTCCGCAGATTGAGTATTTCGCTCCTGCTCTTGTAGCAGTTGAGCACTCTTGCGTGGGGTAGTGCCTTTGCTGTTTGCGTTATGCAGGGCTCACTGACTTGTCAGTTTGAGCACTCTGGCAAGGTACGTTCGGGCCTGATTGGAAATTTTTATTTCCATTGCTATCAGGTTCGGCCTCATTTCCTCTGTGCTGCGCTGACGAGTTCACAAAGAACGAAACAGCATGCTGTCCGCAGATTGAGTATTTCGCTCCTGCTCTTGTAGCAGTTGAGCACTCTTGCGTGGGGTAGTGCCTTTGCTGTTTGCGTTATGCAGGGCTCACTGACTTGTCAGTTTGAGCACTCTGGCAAGGTACGTTCGGGCCTGATTGGAAATTTTTATTTCCATTGCTATCAGGTTCGGCCTCATTTCCTCTGTGCTGCGCTGACGAGTTCACAAAGAACGAAACAGCATGCTGTCCGCAGATTGAGTATATATATATATATATATATATATCACTCACTGACTGACGATATACTGTCACATTGTATAGTGCATACTAGTGCGTAAGTACATTACGTACAGTGTTGACAACTGAAATCCGACCCCCTTGGCGGGGCGCCGCACCGGCAAGGGGGTCGGATTTCAGTTGTCAGCACTGTACATGTAGGAATGTACGTTGCAGAGTCGACCAACAGAGCGCTTACAATGCAAGTCAAATGCATTAATTCGGTTTGAACCTGGCACAATCATCACGGGTTGCCTCTGAGAAGAAAAAGTTCTCTGGGTACTTGATTTTGCACGCTGACAGAAGGAAAATTGTCTCTAAAGACATACTTATGCGAAGTTGACGCGATTAGTGAACGCAAAGCCACATCTGGGGTCTGGAGCGTCACCAATGTACATCATCATCTCTGACCATGTACAGCTTCCCGTACTAGCATAACCTGTAGCGTCATGCGATCAGATTCCCCAAGGACGCTCCCCAATTCCACCTTACACACAGGCCCCAAGAAGTACTTGAATGCCATGGAAGGCAAAGACTATGTCCAAGCATGTTAAAGTAGAATGAAGTTGAAGACACCACTGCAGCTGTACTTATGGTTGATAAATATGGTGGTAAAGACACACCTGGCAATATGGCGGTAAGCGAACTGATGGTGGTGGTGGTGAGAAGGAGAGCTCTGTGCCAGAACTTTGCAGCCTAGAGAGCGTGTGTGGGCAGGCGTGTGTTTACCGCCATATTGCCAGGTGTGTCTTTACCACCATATTTATCAACCATGTTAAAGTAGAAAGGAAAAGGACATATGGAAACGAGTTAAGAGTAACTCTCCACCACTGTAACTAGATACTATATACAGTCAGAAAGTGCAACAACTAGGCACAAAACTGACAGAGCACGTCGGTTAGCGCTACGGAGATGTGTTGAAGCTAGGTGTCAGGACGTCGAATGTCTCAGTACTCTGTCAGTTTTGTGCCTAGTTGTTGCACTTTCTGACTGTATATAGTATCTAGTTACAGTGGTGGAGAGTTACTCTTAACTCGTTTCCATATGTCCTTTTCCTTTCTACTTTTATTATTGGCTCAGTACCCGAGTTTCATGTTAAAGTACATAATAATAAATAAAATAAATAATATAAGATGATTTAGAGGAGTCATGAATACTAGTATAGCCTATTTTTGGTGTGGTGAAGACATTCTGAACAATCTGTAGGATATTATCACTTCGTAGAAATTTGGAGGAATCTACGCCGCATTGCAGTGAAGTGGATAGGTAATAGTTAGAGACAATTTTTAAAAGTAATGAACTGAATACACGAACTTAGAGCTCGTGGCAACAACCATCTTGAGAACTGAATACAGTACTGGTGAAGAGGTTGTCACGCGGAAAGATTCATGCGCTGTTCTGGCAAACTGAGTGTGCAATATGCGGGATTTGACACGGAATGGCGTAGTTATTAGCATTGAAAGTCGTTGAATATTTCAAATGATCAAATCCAAGTGTGCTCACAAATTTATTGTGGTCCAAAGAAATTGTGAATCTGTCCAGGTAGCCCATACTAGCTACTTTTTATTATTTTTTATTTTTTATTGGGAACACAGCCCTACGAAGAGGCATACTATCAATTTTACGTCAGATTCGAATGTTGCACCAAACGTTGTCCTGCAGACAGGTGCGATAACCCCATATGTTTCATTTGGGCTACATGGCGAACTCTGTTTATTACCATTAAACCTGGGCGTTAGAAAATTACTATCGATCTCACTGTAAAAATTGAAACAACTCCCTGCTGCGTAATTATCCACACCATGGCCAGGGAATAGTGAAAACTCAAGTTGTTTTCTGAAGGCGGTTACCATCCACCAACACACTTAGAACAATAGTTTTCTACGGAGGATTCATTCAGTTACTTATCCATCATTATTGGCAATGCAATTTGCACTCTTTTCCCAACCTAATTATTCTAGCCAACCACATGCACATGGTGGGTATACTCGAGGAGTCAGACACAGGACTATGATGTGTTCATTTTTCAGTTATTAAGTGAGGATACCGTCTCTGCTTGGATAACAGCTACACCATAGCTCAGTGGTTAGAGCACCGCTGGCTTCAAGTGAAGGTCCCTTTTTCAGTCCTGGTGGTCACAGTAAATGTTTTCTTCAGACTTTTCCCGTTTGCATCTTTTCCCCAAGCCAGTAGGTTATTGAGTTTCACATTTGTATGTTGCAACGGAGTTCTCGGCCATTCTCAATGTTAAATTTGGGAATTGTACATTGCACTGTTGAGGCTAAGAAGAAAAAGAAATCCAGCATTAACAGCAAACAACCTCACGTTATCTATCCTCTTTCTTCGCTTTTATCACTACTTTGCGTTATTGTTCGTTTGTTTGCTTGAATTATTTCGAAGTATTTATTCTCACGATTGCACCATCGCCAATAAGAGATTGCAAACAATTCATTGACAGAATATGCCACTGCTGCCAGCACACAATGACACTGTCAATACCAATGACCATACTTCGAAATACATGTACGAACATCTTGAAAGTGTTCAGCTCGACAAAGTATACTTTCAAGGCTTCTCGTCAGGTGAAATACAGGCAAAGGGAAAGTAACAAGAACAGTGGATTAAGTACAGTAGCGACGTGATGAAACAGCGCAAAGAAGAAGATAGCTAAAATCAAGAGTAGATTACGTATCTAATAGTGACTGATTACGAAGTCTATATAGGAAATAAAAGCCGGGTAGAAGACCGAGGCGAAGCCGAGGCTTTTTACGAGGCTTTTATTTCCTATACTGACCAAATACGAAGTCAATATTAGATTTATCACGACAGACAGTCGGTATTTCAAATTGCAGAACGATTGCCTCATGAATCCCAGTTTCATGATTGCACAACCGTTGCACCATCACCTACTCATACAGTGACCATGCTGCACTAGGCTCACTGTTCAACTGCGCAACCCATCAGCAGTCAAATATAAGCAATCAATATAGCGCTAATGGGTGAAACTAAATATTGCGACAGAGCTTCTTGCTCCACATATACTGGCACACACAGAGACATAGACAGCAATAGCGACAACACACAAAGTGAAGGGTAGTTGGCCTCAGCCAGATGTGAACCAGATAACGAGTGAGGTATGGAAGCAAGGACTGAGAACGGAGTGTCTAAGATAGAATAGGCGTGCCAGTGGATAGCAGAAATAGGCCATAATGCAGAACCACTTGGGACCGTCAGATTAATTTCCCTGGACCGAGCCAGCCGGGAAAAAACCCTCGCGCCGACGGACGCAGTTGTGAGGGAAAAAACCGGGTGTATATCCCCAATGGCGATTAGGCATCCTGTAGGCATGGCAATCACATCACGGCACAAAGTGATAAAAAAGCAATGATATTAAATATGCCAATAAATAAGATAACTTGTGCATTCATAACAACAGCAAAATGAAGAAAGTTAAGTTCCATAACGTTTTCTTGTGACTGTCATCAGTGGAACGCCGTCACATAAAATGTAATAACTAAAACACACACTTATATACATGTATTATGGTTTCAGGTAAAAATACAGCAGCCAGCAAGTACAAAAAGCGAAGTTTGCATCTTTGCAATGTGTGAATAATGTATGTGAGAAAGGTAGTGGCAGATGAATGGATACTGTGTGAATGAATGTAATGGTGCGTGTGTATTACTTGAAGAGTGTGAGTGATACAACGTTTTCTTTCTGTTTACATAGCACAGGGTCACGAGTACGAATATACACAGCTTCGAATAACACTAAACCTTGAATCGTCAAACACCTTACGACATTCTGGACTGGACACCAAATGCTCGTACACTGCAGACTTCCTCTTGTCAACATCAAACTCCTCCTTATCACTACTCTCATTCTCCACCTCCACTCCAATGCCGCCGTCCATCCCATCGTCCTCGTATTCGTTATCATCAGTCTCCATCTCCTCGCGACACCGCTTCCATCTCCTTGATTTGTTCCGTGCCGTGCTTGTGCTTCCTCCTGTGTCTCCTTGCCTTGTGTTCTCCACTTGTCTCAGTCGTGCCTCTGCTAGTCTCTTGCTTCTCCTCGGTTCTGCTCTGTTTTCAATTTGTTCCCCTTCCGCTATTACCGTTGTAGCAACATGGTTTGTCGAAGAGCGACCGTCCGGCGGCCTCCCTTGCCGTGGTCCGGTTTCCGAGAGGAGAACCAGATTAGTCTGGTCGTTCTCCATGGAATTAGTACGGCAGTATTACGTCGATTGTTGAGATATTAATTATGCACAGAAATGAAGGGTGGGAGGGTAGGGACACAGGTGAGACTCAAAACTGACTAAATTGTTGGCATATTTAGTTCAAAATAGTTGAGATTTTGGAAGCAACATTCGTTCGAAAACACAATTTGCAACATTTGGTAGATTTTCGGCGGGTCTCAAAGCAATCCTCCAAAATCAGCGATATAAAATTATAAAGCGTAGCCATTTTTCGATCGGTCTCGTTTTCGGCCGGCTGACTTGGGTAAAGCCTACTAGTAAAAAGGGTCAATGAAATCAAAGCACGCCAAAGATAAATAAGGAAGGTTAGCAACGCCTTGAACGCATTGATTACTGACTCGGCACTTGAAAATCTCAATAGACGTTCCTTTGCAGCAGCTGATTGCACATTAATTGACTCTACCAGTAGTTGTTCCAAGGCAGCATACAGTACAACACGGAGACGCTTTATTTTTATTTATGGCTTGGTTTAATTTAGGAAAAAAGGTTTCAGAGCAGACCCGCTCTCTTCCTTGTCACTCTGCAAACTCGAACTCGTAAAAGGGAAGTGAGCGGGTCTGCTCTGAAACCTTTTTTATGAATGAAGCTGCAGGAATCCTCACCGCCGCTACAAAATCTGGTTTGACATTAATAAATAATTATGCCCCTGGACCCAGAACGACTAGAAAAAATATAGCTCGCACAGGCAGACGCAGTAGCAGGGGGAAAACCAGTTTATTGTCACTAATGACAAGATGGCATTGTGAAGCATAAAAATGAACAGCGGAGCTAAGTTGAAAAGCAGGATCAAGGTGGCCAAAAATGAAGAGCTGTAGACCAGCGAAAATACTAACCTATACAGTACTAAGAATCAAAGAATGAACGAAAAAGACATGAATCGAAACAATGATAAATGAAAAAACCAATGCCCAATGCCCAATCTTTGTTACCATAACGGCGACGAAGACAACAACAACAACAACAACAATACCAAAAATTCTATTGGCGATGGTGCCATCGTGAGAATTAATACTTCAAAAACGATAAAAACAACAACGACAACAAAACCAACAACAACGACAACAAAACCAACAACAAAACCAACGACGACGACGACGACGACAACAAAAACAACATCAGCAACAGATTAAGAAATGGCCAGGCTAAAATGGCAAACTTTCCACCAATCGCACCCTGGAAGCCTGTGGCACACAGCAAATATTTCTCAGTCAATGAATATAGCAAACACATGCAGCGGAGATTTTCCGAGGTAAGGCGGTAAAGAGCACAGTTTGAATAACAACTGGAGCTGTTAAGTAACGAAACCGTGTGTCGGCTAACCTAATTTGGCTCCAGGGAATGTAATGCTAAATGCAAAGTCTCGGAATTTAGACTGGTCGATCCGGGCCACAATCCTTTCGTCAATGGGCTCGAGAACGGCGACCTCGTCCGTAAATTCCGTGTCAAAGTTTGATGTGTCCGTCTTCGAGTCAAACGGTGGGATAAAGGGCGGATTGATGTCGCCCCTTTCTAGCGCCTCCCACCGTATTGACTCGAAAAACGGATGCGTTTGTACCTGCGACCCAGCCGTGCATCCCAGACGCTGCTTAACAGTTTTGTGCATCAAACTCAGCAACACGCTTTCGCAATGTTTACTGCAGTTGGTGTCTGGGAATATCACCGGCTGGGCTTTAATGTTTCGGAATATCACCTCTGTTGTTGCGCCTCTAAAGGGCACACAGCCAAACATCATCTCAAACATCAGAACGCCAAGAGCCCACCAGTCAACAGACGCGTTGTAAGCTGTCCTTCTGACCATTTCCGGGGCCATATATTCAGTCGTGCCGACGAATGTTGATGTTGTGGCTCCCAGGGTTACTTTGCTCCCACCGAAGTCTGTTATTTTGATATGTCCATCACTGCTCAGCATGACGTTTTCAAGTTTCAGGTCACGGTGAATGATTCCTGAACGGTGCAGATGAAGTAGGGCGCACGCTATCTGAGCGGAGTAGAAGCGAGTTGTGGACTCACCAAAACGGCGACTTCTTTCTTTTCCCGAGTGAAACCATAGATCTCCGCCGCCGATATACTCCATAACGAAGAAAAGCCTGCTGGCAGTTTGAAAACACTCAAACATTTTCGCACAAAACATATGGCGACCCGCAATAGCCAGAACTTTCTTCTCACTGATGGTTCTGCTTACAATGTTCTTCTGGATAGCCGTATCCTTCTGCAGCACCTTGATAGCGTACACTTGGTCCTTGTTCTTCTTCTTCTCAGCGAGATATACAGTGCCGTAACTGCCCTTACCGAGAGTCTTCAGCAGATTGAATGCTTCGATGCCGTTCCCGTGTGATTCGTCGCCATCGCTTGCCTTTTGTGTATCTCGCTCCATCGGAGACCGGACCGCTGCATCTGTGACTTCACTTAGCGCTGGGAACGTAACAAGATTTTTTACTGAACTCATTGCGCCTTTTGATACTACTGCAGGAGTGGCAGACGGCGTTTCTCTTGCAGGGTAAACAACCTTCTGGGAAGCTGTGCCTCTCGTCTGATACTGTTCACTATATCAATACTGACAAAACGGTATAACAATCAGTACGAAATTTATCCTAAGGCTAGCGTCCAGCGACACTCACTGGTTTAAACAAGGGTGAATCTTGTCTTAGGCATTAGTTGAAACTGGGCTCAAATCTATGTCGCAGGCTTTTATAAACCCTTCAGTCCACGTAGACCTAGTACTAGCCTAGCCGAGGGGTTATAAGCTTGCCTGCGAATCACAAGGTCGCGAGTTCGAGACCCGCGCTCGCAGCAGGGAGCGTGAACTGTGCTAACACATGCGGTGATGCATGCGTGAACCAGATACAAGGAACTGCGCGCGGACAATCACGTCAGAGGCAGCTGGGTACTCACCACTACATGTAGTACATGTACTCGGAGTGAGGGTTACTCGACTAAGATCGGAGTGAGGGTTACTTGATCGAGAGGGATACGTGAGTCGTGAATGAGGGTTACTCGATCGGATCGGAGTGAGGGTTAGGTGAGTGAGAGTTACGTGGATGCAGCTAACGTTACGAGGTTCTCCTTTGTCGGGCATTGCTTGTGAGACTTACCAATTTTTGTTACCATCTCACCCTCGCGGTTAGGCGCTGGATCTGCCACCCTGGTATCACAGGCATGGTGGTGCCCTGGCACGAGCGAAACTTCCAAGCAGCTGGTTGTGTTCCTCAATGCATATAGCCGTTTGTGAAGCGGACGTGCGAAATTCACTTCTTTTTGTTTAACAGTACTAGCTCACAAGTTCTTTCGCCGAGCGTGCGAGTACCTGCACTTTACTTTAGCGCTGCAACTGGTAGGGGTTTCGTCGAGTAACGGGTTCGGGTATTTATGTCCGGGTAGCACGGTTCAGGTAGTTTTGTCAGGGTAGCACAGTCCGGGTAATTTTATAACGGTAGCACGGGTACCTATCGGGTATGTCTATACACAGTTGTACTGTGAGTGTGCACTTCCACTACATAGAAAGTGTACGGTAAGCATGTATAGTAGCCGTGCTAATTACATGCACCGTTGCAAAAACACCGTACTCCAACTAACCGATCGGGTTCTCAGGAGCAATTAGGGAGGTTTAGTCCCACGTAACGGATACGGGAACGTGGGTGATACACGCGTAAAGTTCCTGCAATGGACCCACGTTTGCAATGTTGTGGTTAGTCACACGGAACAAACAAAAGCATGAAGCGAAAGGCCCAAACCTGGTCAAACACGAAGCTTAGAAGCTCGTCGAATATTTTGATTTCGTGCTTTGGAAACTTCTTCCGATGAGCACGCTCACAGCTCGCACAATGCGCTCCATTCTGATGTTCTGGCGGAACGATTTACGTGGGTGAGCCTCCATGGCCATACACGGTATGTAACAGTATAGACTTGATTGATTGGAGAATTCGTCGAATGATGTTCAAACCAGAGGTTATAAAGCAAAAGAAAGGTGAGAACCGCAGGAGTGAGAATAGTAGGAACACAAGGTGTTACCATAAGACAAGCAAGAAGTGTCAAGGTAAAACTATTACACTCTCCCGGCCCCATAGGAAGCCCAAGGTTCCATTAGATAACACAATCCAGTTAGGAGATGCAATTGTGGAAAGGGGAATATTAAATAATCACTCATGCACATGCATAACCACATTGAAGTGTAATCCAACTCAACTTCATCACTCTCACAAGGAGATGACGCAAAACTATATCAGTCTATAACATAATTATTAACTATCTCAGTAAGAGATGCATATGGCTCAGCCCAGTTAGATCAAGGCTGCTGTCGTTGTGAGGCTAGATAGTTCTGCAGCGGTTTAATATTCCGACCAGACTCATCACATAGGTTGCCAGCGGGCTCCCACGTAGCTTCGCTGCTGGGGTAACCCTTCCAATGCACCAGGAAGTGTTGCTCACCACTGCGGTGTCTGTGATTCAAAACGGCTTCGACAACATAGCGTGTGTGTCCATCTAGATCTGTGAAGGGCGGAGGCGGGGGTTGGTGTCTTCCAGGAATCGTGTTCTCTTCGTAGCGTTTAAGAGCAGTGACATTAAACACGGGATGGCAGCGAAGTTCACGGGGTAGTTCCAAGCGAAAAGCATTCGCTCCAATCTTAGCCTGGATACGATACGGACCAAACCACTTGGGTTGCAACTTCCGAGAGGGCTGGCCACGAGCTTCCGGGGTCAGTAGAAAGTCTCTGTAGACAAGAACGCTATCACCAACCTTCAAATCACTGGGCGTTCTCGTCTGGTCTGCGTATAGAGCTTGCCTTGCCTGGGCGTCGAGCATAGCATCTCGAGCTATCCTTAGTGCGGCTTCCTGCTCATGAAGCCAATTGACCGAATCACTCCTTTCCCCTCCCGTAAGAATGAATTCGGGCGGGGACTTAGGGTCAAACCCATAGTTCAGATAGAACGGTGTATTAGCTACAGATGACTGTTGTGAACTATTTATTGCAAACTCGCAGAGTGGTAGAAGCGAATCCCAATTGTCCTGTCTCAAGTTCACAAATGCTCTTAGAACATCTCCCACTTGCCGGTTAACTCTCTCTGTCAAACCATCCGTTTGAGGGTGGTTAGCAGTGCTGAATGCCAATTTAGTTCCTAGCTGAGAGAATACTTCTTTGAAAAAAGCTGCAGTGAATCGTGGATCGCGATCGGAAACAATGGTTGAGCTCAGCCCGTGCAGACGAAACACGTTTTGAATGTACAGTTGAGCGCTGCCCTTAGCATCAATCTTCGAGTTTGTTGGAACAAGATGTACGCATTTCGTAAGTCGGTCCACAAAGGTGTAAATTGCGTCGAAGCCACGAGAAGTAAGGGGCAATCCAACAATAAAATCCATTGAGATATCCTGCCAAGGACTATTAGGTATTGGAAGTGACTGGAGAAGCCCTGTTCGTGGCTGACCTCCCTTCGTTCGCTGGCAGAGATCACAGGTTTTGACAAATCTCTTGATATCGAGACCCATTCGGGGCCAGTAGAAAAAACGTGCTAGGCGGAAGTACGTTCGATCACGACCCGGGTGGCCAGCCGTTGCACACTCATGGTGTTCTTGAATGAGCTTTAACCGGACACCGCACTGTGGTATGCACAACCGGTTATTGGGGGATGCCTTGAGGTACAAGCGATCAGTGGATTCGTCCCAATAATAGCGATCATGCAAATTATCTCGGAGAGAATGCTTCAATCTTTCTATGATGGGAGTTAGCTCTTTGTCTCTCTGGTAGGCATCTGATATTGTATTGGACACGTCATCATTCATTGCTAAAGCATACTCAATAGCATTCAAACGTGGTACTGCATTCTCCACGAGGTTACTCTCATGGAGATCTGGGCGACGCGAAAGGGGATCTGCAGGGTTCTCTCTGCCGGGTCTGTGACGGACTGTGTAGTTATAGTCAGCTAGGAATTCAACCCATCGCGCCTCTCTCTTTGTAATGCTTGGTTTTGTTTTCAGATAAACTACCGCCATGTTGTCTGTAATGACCTCAAAGTGTTGAAAGAGGTAGATGCGCCAGGTCTTTAGCGCAAACACTACGGCCAATGTTTCTCTTTCTGTAGCTGTATAATTCTGTTCCGCAGCAGACAATTTTCGGCTAGCATAAGCCACTGGATGCCAGGCATCTTCCTCTAGTTCTTGGAGAAGAACACATCCCAAGGCGAAATCGCTTGCATCTGTTACCACTCTGAATGGTCGGTTCACATCAGCCAGCCGCAATAGGGGCGCATTCAACAAGGCATGCTTTAGCGATTCAAAGGCATGTTGCCGAGAGCTGTTCCACTCGAATCGTGCATGTTTTCCCGTTATCTCCTCTAAGTTCTTAGAGAGCGATGAGTATTGATCTATGAATCGCCTAAAATAATTCGTAAATCCAAGAAATTGCCTCACCTCTGTGACGGAAGTCGGAGCGGGCCAGACCTTTACTGCGGCAATCTTGTCTGGGTCAGGGGCGATGTGCAGTCCATCGATGCAATGTCCCAGGAACCGCACACTCTCCACGCCAAATTCACATTTTGACCGTTTGCAAAATAACTGGTTGTCCCGGAGCACGCTCAATACCGACCGGACATGCTGCATATGCTCCGACCACGTTTTGCTGAAGATGAGTATGTCATCTAGGAACACGACTACGAACTCCCTCAGATATGGTTGAAGAATCGTATTCATCATGGATTGAAATGTTGCCGGTGCATTGGTGAGACCAAATCCCATGACCCTAAATTGGTAATGCCCAAAGGGAGTGTTAATCGCGGTTTTGGGCACGTCCTCAGCTTGAATGCGAATCTGATTATACCCTGATCGGAGGTCTAGTTTCGTGAAGTACCTAGCGCCCTGTACGGTATCGAATAAATCATCCACATTGGGCAAGCACGCCTTGTTCTTAACAGTTATCTTGTTTAGCTCCCTCCAATCGCAGACCATGCGTAACGAACCATCAGCTTTCTTGACAAAAAACACCGGTGCACCAAAGGGGGACTTACTTGGTTCTACGAAACCCTTTTTCAAGAGTTCTGTGAGCTGTTTCTTCAATTCCTCCATTTCTGGCCTGGGCAGGCGATAGGCAGGTCGCGATGGGGGTGATGAGCCTTCCTCCAGGCGGATTTCGTGGTCTACAGACCTCTCTGGTGGGAGTCTAGCTGGCAGATCATCCGGGAAAAGATCGTCATAGTCACGGAACATGGCCTTGAGATCTGGGTGCTCGTTCTGAGTGGATTTGTCGGGAGGTTCCTTGCCAATGCCGTCTTCTACGCTGACCCACGCCAGAACACCTTCGTCTCCACTCCTAAGGGCATGCCTAGCCTGACGACCAGATATGAACATCGCCTCCACAGGAGCGGTCGGTTCGCTTTGACTGGGCGACGCACAAGGCAAACCATTCGAGTTCAACCTGACTTCATTCGTCCGGAAGTTTATGTCTGGATTGTTACGCGTTAACCAAGGTTTCCCCAATATAGCGTCATAGCGATGAAGGGGGAACACCGTGAAGGTTTGGTTATCGCTGAAGTCGCCTACGATAACCTTCAATTCATGGGTCGTCTCCATGGGAAACGAGCTTGATGCTCCATCAGCCAGCGTGACATTCAGGTTTTCCGAGCCAATTTCGGTTGGCAGGTTAACTCTCCTGGC